TGTCCTCCTTCACTATCTTTGACAGCCTCAAAATAGCATCACATGACTCTTTTTGGTCTCCTTTAATAGTGATGACTTCATTTTTATTGCTCACCATCTTCAATTTTTGATGCTTGGTAGAGACAAGCATATCCCACTTATGAATAGTTGGCCTCCCCAAAATTATATTGTATGGAGAAAGAAAGTCGGCTACAATGAATCTTACCCTTTCTGACTTAAATGCTTCATTTGTTCCCAGAGTTAATCTGAGATCTATATTTCCTTTTGGAGGGGTATTTTCTCCATTAAAAGCTATCAAGGTAGTGTTGCATGGCTTCAGATCTTCCTCATCAAGATTTATTCTTTTAAAGGCATTTAAAAGAAAGATATCGGCACAGCTGCTAGCATCTATAAAGATTTTCTTAACCCAGTAATTCACCAAGGTTCCTATGATAACCAGTCCATCTTCGTGTCCTGGTACCGCATCTGCCAAATCCTCTTTGGTAAAATATAACAAAGGGAGATTTGGTTTATTGGAATCTTCCTTGAATTTTGGTCGATCCTAACCGAGAGCATTTCCCTAAGATATTTTCTTCTTGCACTTATTGTATCTCCCCCTCCACCAAGAGCTTTGCAAATAATGTTGCAGTCGAACTCGGTTTTAGGAAATTCACCATCATTTGATTCCACATTTCTTCCCTTTTCATCTTTTTTCTTCTATTCAAGAACCGAGCTTTTGCTCTTGCTGCGCCTTCTTTGTTTTCGCTTGTTATTTTTTCAACCCTGGGTTTTGATCACATATTGACACAATTTTCCTTTTGTGATGAATCTTTCAGCCGCGTCTCTGAGATCCCAACACTGATCAGTAGTATGCCCAGGTCTATTATGAAATGCACAATATCTGGATTGATCTAACCCGACTTTGTTGAAGCTCTACTTTCTTCATCTCAGTTATTGGCTACCTCCCTCCAAATTTAAGACCGAAGTACATTTAAAGGGGTATATTTTTCATACCTTCCAACCCGAAATCTATCATTCGGGTTCCTACCTGGGAAATCTATTTGCTTCATATTTCCTGGACTCTCTTTTTCTTTTGGAGATGGACTCTTCCTTCTTGGACTTCTACCTCGATTGTCTTTTCCTTATGTATTTGCTATTTCCATCTGCTCAAGCTCTAAATATTTCTTTGACCGAGCTCTAAATTTGTCCAGCGTTTTTACTGGATCTTTATATATTGACTTTGCCAACCGAGATGAACCATCCAAGCCAGCCACAATCAAATGCACATGCACATTTTCCTGTAATCCAGGAACTTGTAGTGTTGCATCCTTGAAACGATCCATATATTTCTGAAGTGTCTCTCCTGGTTGTTGTCTAATTTTTTGAGTTCAAATTCGGATTTCAGGTGTTTCTTGCTTGTAGCAAAATTCAATAAGAATTTATCTCCAAAATCCTCAAAGGATCTTATTGAATTTGCCAGCAAAGTAGAAAACCACATCTAAGCTGCTCCTGTCAGAGTTGTAGCAAATATCTGGGAAATGATAGGTTCATCAGTTCCTTGTATATACATATCAGTATCGAAAGTATCTATATGAACTTGTGGATCCTGACTTCCATCATATTTCGGCAAGTGTGCCGAATCAAATTCTTCTGGGAATGGTGCATTCACAATATCATCAGTAAAAGGGCTATCATTGTATCGCCCCTGCGATATTTTCTCCTATATATCCCATCTTCAGCGCAGCTTTGAATCTGATTATCACTATTATGATCATCCTCATAGCGGTTCTGCTGAACTTGCATATCTCTATTGTGATCAGCTTCAATCCGGTTAGGCTACACATTCCTTATTCTTTCAGCATTTTGATCATGAACTACAATATTCGTAATTTGACCTGTATCAGTTTCACCTCGACCTTCATTGCCTCTATCACAAACTTGATTATTGGCATCCCTAACCTGGTTTTCATTAGCATTTTTGCCATGATGAACCTCCCTTTGCTTTTATGTTCTACTATTTTCTTCATCTTGGATTATAATTCCAATGCGTTCCTAATTGCACAATTGTAAAAAATGCTCCTCCATCACTTGCAACCTTTGAACATCTTCCAGCCTTTGAAGATTATTATGTTGTTCCATCTCCTCCATCTGCCTTAAGATCGCGTTGAAAGCGGTCTGTGCAAGGCATGCATCTGGATCTACAGGTTGATGTTGAAAAGGTGCTATCTGATTCTGAGGATTACCTACTGGAGCGGGTGTGGAGGCTGTATCCGAGATATCCTCACTCACATGAACTGCATCGTAATCTGACTTAACTTCATGTTCATGCTGATTAAGAGGTTGATCCACCTCCAGCAAAACATGATTTGATGGTAGATTCAGTTGTGGCAGCAAGTGGCTGTTACTCCTTGTAAGAACCATTCTTGGCCATAGGAATAACAATTTATCTTTCCCCACAGATGCCGCCAATGTTTTATCCTAAAGACAGATATATCTTGCCCAAAGGAGGCTAGTGAGTTTATCTTGGATCTAGTGCTCTCTAAGGTATTTATGAATTAGATACCTTTGAGTATAGCACATCATTGTGCACAAGTAAGAGAAAATGGTTTTTGCCAAAAGAGTGGTGTGTGCATAATAACAGCATAACAGTAAAAAGAGAGAATGTTCATACCTATAGGTTTTACCTCTTATTTATAGAGTTTACCTTAGACTCTGGAATTATGGACCTTTTGTGCTTCTTCTAGCAGCCTAAGCCCAAGTCTGATGTTGTCGTATTAGAATTAATATCTTTGATTAATATTCTCCTTTGATTATAACATATTCATATTTAGATTGTTCCTTATTAGGCCATATACTAAATGGGCCTCAAATCTAAGTCCATAACAATGTCCAATCTAATAATTTTTCTCTTTGTTTACTGGGGTTATTGAGCTTGTATCTTTTACCTTAGGTATGAGCTAGATACTCTGCGAATTGGGTCGAAAGAGTACCTAGACTAGAATTCATAATTAAGTTTCTCAGTTAATTTAATGTCTATAATTTCAATTTGTTCCATGCAGATTTATATTTGTTTTTCTAAATTTGTTTGTGCTGTGGCATAGAACGAGTAGCTTGCAAGTTATAATAGTTGAGAAATTGTTATATTAGACTTTACATTGGGCATGTGGACATTGAGTGAAAGATTTCTCAATGGATAGGAATTAAGGAGTGTAAATAGTTCAGACGATTTATCAGGAGTTTATGACTAGGCTAGACTTGGCATAATATATTTAATAAAATAGAATAAACTCAAACATTAAAAAATTTATTTAAAAAATAGATCATAAATCATCTTTTAATAGATTGGTCCTATAAACTTACAGGCCAACATATATAATATTATATAATTTAGATAAAATAAAATTTTAGTTATTTTTTTTAAGAGTAAAGCTTCTTTTGAGTCCCTAACAAAAAAACACGATCATCACTTTAATCTCTTATAAAAAAATTAGCCGTATGGTCCTTATGAAATTCAAAATGTACCAATTTTAGTCCTTTTGAGGGACTAATGTGGATCTTTTTTAAATTTGTGAGGGACCACGATTTCAACTAAATGGGTCCACTTTAAATTTCTTAGGGACCTTGAAACTATTTTTTTTAAGGGACTAAAGTGAGAACCGTATTTTTTTTTAGCGACCCAAAATTGACTTTACTTTTTTTTTTTAATTCTTGAAAGATGTTGGAGGTTTGAAATGCTTAAATAGGCATGTCTTTTAATTTTTAAATATAAGTCATGTCAAACATATAATTTTTAAATATAAGTCATGTCAAACATATAATTAAACATATACTAGGTCAATAAACCAAGTCAAGCTCAAAATATTTTACATAAATCTAGTTTGTTTCGACCAAAACCTAAGGTAGCCTAACCCAACCCATTCACACCCATATAGAAACTTGAGGAATAGATTCTATCTCCACAAAATTTATGGAATTTGAGCTTGAATTGAATTATGTTTACAGCTTGCATAAACATACGAGTGAGGTTTGACAAGATTACATTTTTGACGCAAGCTATATGAGTGTAATCTTCACGCACACACGCACACATTGAGCTTGAATTGAATTATGTTTACAACTTGCATATACGAGTGTAATCTTCATGCGCACACCTACCAAAATGGTTTGCTCCCATTTTGGTAGCCTTCAAGATTATATGTTCAAAGGCATATGGCTACCTGGGCATTGAGTATAACATGCATAAAATTGGTTGCCATGTATAAAGGTTGTGACTTTCACAGCATTTATGGTTTGACTTGCAAAAGCTTGGTAATTTCTAGTTCCCTTTGATATCATATATACTAATGAATAAATATTGAATATGAGATTTGTACTAAATATATATATTTTGAATATGAGATACCGTAAGTCATAAATTTCATCAAATATCGGTACCACTAGTAAGGTATTGATATTGATACAACCATTTAAATCTGTCAATATCAACCAAATTGTACATAATAGTTAATTATTTCTATTAGTGTGAGAAAAAACAAATTTTATGTCATAAATGCCACTTTGTTACATGAGGTAGAATATTTATACTATCATTTTTTCTACTATTATCTACTATAACTATGTACTTCAAAAAATACATAATTATAATATTAGAAGTTATTTTTCTTTTTTCTCTCTTCAAAAACTTTTCAGAAATTGTTAGCCAAAAAATTTGATCCAACGATAATTAAAGTAGTAGTGAATTGATAGTAGAAAAAAAATTATAGTATAAATATCCTACCTCTTGTTTTATGCTAAAGAAATATTCATAATAATATCATGCCATATTCATGCAACCAGTTAAGTTTGGTTTCGGCTTAAGGTTATTTCATTTGATAGTGAGCTATGCTATTCTATGTTTCCTAGATATCAGAATTATACAAATTTGAAACAATGTATTATGATCAGTAGTGAGCGCTAGGTAGAAGACAAGCTTTTCCGTAACTTGACAATATGATCAGTCGTAAGGTAAACACACAAACAAAATGTTAACATTAACAGAAAGCAGCCAGTCTTGCAGGTTTATTGGTAAAATGATAACATATAACATAAACTTTAGTATGAAAAGCAGTGCAAAATCAAAGTGTAGATGTCTCCAATTCAAGGTGTGCAGTATTTTCACAATTTGACGTGCAAATTTCATCACTCACACTTATCACCCTACACCTCCTTGAGAAGCATAACAATAATAAGATAAGCTTTATCTCCAAAGCTGCCTTGAAAAATAATTTCAGTTGCTCCTACAAATTTGACATAGAACCGCTAGGTTCTTTTGAATGGCATTCAATGCCGTTTACACTTTGATCTGGGAAGGCCCAAGAGGAAATAAGGTGATGAGCTATTGCAAAGGGTCCAGGAACAAACATAGGAGCAAGTTCACCACTTTCCACATTGAAATCTGTAGCCAAGCTGTGTGTTTTTTCTACTCCCTTACACATTTGTTCTACCTTTGCTGCTGCAGTTCTTTGGGCTTTCTTGTATTCGGCAAATGTCAGTGCTTTTCTCACATCATCTCTACTGTGCCACTGAGCATCTAGATAAGAAAGTTGCAGCATATCATTTGCACAGATCCATAAAACAAAACCACATGAAATGGGAGTGTGTGTGATGTTGGGGCGGGGGAGTGGGGTAGGTGAATGCTTCAAAAGTTAAACCACTGCATCGCGTGCACAAAAATGTGCCATTAACACCCCACTCTTATCCATCCTCACCGATCATTTCTCATTATCTCAACAAACCAACAAAGCTCAATACTGATTGCCATCCATCAAGACTTTTAGAGGTTCTGGTTTATCACACCACACAATTTTCTCAAGATATCTGAACAAATTGATTCATGTGATTTCATTGTTGAAGGTAACACCACAATAAAATAAATAAATAAAATCATGTGCATCATAATTCTTGAAGGAAAAGTGTGTGATCCAATTCGAATTTCAGGCGTTGGAGTATAAAATGTTCATTACTCAAAACTGCACTACTTCCAGCCTAGAATTACTTGAAGCAGCTGGTGATGTCCATTATAACAACCCTCACAAGCATGTTTTGCTAATTAAGGAACTAAGCAAGTATTAAGGAAATTAAGCCAGTATTCAAGAGAATTGTGACAAGATATGTCAAGTAATGATCAAATAATCATGAAATTAACATGATAGGAAGAACAGGGATACAATTCATGCCTAACAAATCAATTAAGAACAAAATAAGAGTATGTTATGTGTGTTGGGACATAGATGTCATTATAGTAAAAGTCAGGGTTATTTTGGTAAATTGACAAAACTAGGCCTAAACTTGAATTAGATGGTTTAATTAAATTCTATAGAAAATTTAGTGGGTTTAAAATGATCTTAGTTTATCTTTATTATGATTAGAATAGTTTAATTAAATAGATCAAAGATTGATAAAAATTGTCCAATAGAATTAAAGTTTGAACACTCCGAAGATGACGTGTTAGAATAGGAAATATTAGATATATAGATTTGATTCTGATTTGTATAGATTAGATTACTTTCCTATCTGTAGATATTCTTTTTGTATTAGATCTGGGCTTCTCACTTAAGCCCATTACGGTCTCTATATATTGTAACTCTTTGTATTAGATTAATACACAACATATTATTTTACATTCAAGTTGGTACTAGAGCTCTTTTGTTTTGGGGACTCTCGCTTTCGCTTCAAAACTTCGTTTTCGCCTTAAAACCTAAGCCCACTGCTTAGGAGTCCTCTTTTCTTTTCCGTGCATCCTTCCAGCAAGACATCTAGGGCTGTCAGCCCCTTCTGAGTGATTTTCGAACGCGTCAGCACCTCCGATCGCCACCGGAACCACCATCAATCACTGTGCCGGCTGCCGGAGAAGTTTTCCGGCAAGTTTTCAACACAGACAACCTGCGATCAAGACCTTCTCCTTCTGACAACTAGTTCTGTGGAGGTTCGACCACCGTCGCGTCAGCCACACGCCTCCCGTCTCCTCTGCGTGTGGTGCTCACATGCCACCTTCAACCAGCGCGTGTGCACTATTCCGGCAGCTTTTTCCGGTCGTTCTTGGACAGAGAAGCTCACCTCCTCTTCCTCTTTCCAGATTTGTGGTTGGTTCTTTGTGGGTCTCACTTTTTGTGCGTACCTCTTCTTGATTTTCGATCAGATTAGTTTCGATTCACTTGGTTGTATATCCTTGTGATTTATTATAATGGCAACATCTTCTCCTGTTGTTTCAGAGATCAGTTCTCCCTCTCGTCCTGCCAAAAGTTCCACTAATATCATCTCCACCAATGTTGGGCCCATTACCTCTTCAAAGCTGAAGGGTTCTGTTAATTACAAGAATTGGGCCAACTCTGTTCGAGTTTGGTTCTTTGGACAGGGACATGGGAACCATCTCACAACTAAATCTACTAATATTCCTAAGGAGCAAAAATCTGATTGGGAAAGGATTGACAACCAGCTTCTGAGTATCCTTTGGCAGTCTATTGATCCAATAGTCTTGGACATCTTCTATTCTTTTCAAACCTGCAATGACGTGTGGGAGGAAGCAAAACACCTCTACACTAATGATGTTCAGCAGCTCTATTCCATCATGTCTCAGTTTATGGATCTGCGCAAATCATCTGACACTTAGATGGAGACATATGTTGGCAAAAGTCGATCTCTGATGCAGGCATATTTGGATATGTTGCCATAAACTACTGATGCTTCTGCATATCGGAAACAGGTGGAACGTCTCTTTATGGTTGCCACACTTTCTGGTCTTCCCGAAGAATATGATAATGTCCGGGATACTATCTTGACCAGTGGGGATCCTGATCTATCAATGACATATCAGCGTCTTCTGAACCTTAATAAGAAATCTGCTCCTGCATCATCTACTGTTGCTGATTCCACCGCTCTAGTTTCCCATACTGACTTTCGCGGGAACATTGGAGGTGGTCGTGGTAGAGCCCAGGGAGGATGTGGCCCACGGTCAGCGACCTCGTTATCATTATTGTCAGCAACTCGGTCATTATGAGGAACATTGCTACACAAAGTATCCTCACCTGCGACCCTCTCATGCTGCTAATATAGCTCAATCGGAAACTGCTTCGACTGGTACAATCTCTCTCCTCTGAAGACTATGCAGCACTCCAGATCCTTCTCAGGAAGGCTTCTCCTCAGTCTCAGCCCTCTACTTCAGAAACTGGTAATCCCGTTGCTTGTGTTTCTCATTCTGCATCACTTGGTCCTTGGATATTTGACTCAGGTGCTACTGATCACCTTTGTGGTAATAAAGAACTCTTTTCATCCCTTACATATTTTGATAATTTACTCTCTTTTGCTCTTGTTGATGGCACTAAAGCCCCTGTGCATAGGATTGGACAAATCTGTCCAACCTCCTTATTGACCTTGACATCTGTCTATTATATTCCTGACATCCCTTATAATTTAATCACTGTTAGTAAATTGATCAACTCTCTTAACTGTATTGTCACCTTCTCAAACCATTCTGTTTCTGTGCAGGATCTGAGTACGGGGAAGACGATTGGAGTGGGCCGTGAGTCACGGGGTCTGTTCTACCTGGTTGTGCCGAGTCCTTTAGTTGCTTGTTCTCTCACAGAATCTCCACAACTCATCCACAGTCGCCTCGGGCATCCTAGTCTTTCAAAATTGCAGAAGATGGTTCCACTTTTATCCGGTCTTCAGACTTTAGATTGTCAGTCATGTCAGCAAGGGAAGCACATACGCTCCTCCTTTGCCAATCGAGTCAATAAATGAGCTGATGCTCCTTTTTCAATTATCCATTCAGATATTTGGAGTCCTAGTCGTAGTGTGTCCGTGTTCGGTTTTCAGTATTTTGTAACCTTTATTGATGATTTTTCACGTTGTACTATGATTTATTTAATGAAAAACCGTTCTGGGTTATTTTCTATTTATCAAAAAATTTCTATTGAAATTCATACTCAATTTGGTGCTTCTATTCGTATTTTACGTAGTGATAATGCAAAGGAATATGTTTCTGTTGACTTTTCTAATTTCTTAGCCACACAGGGTACTTTACACCAAACTTCTTGTCATCACACTCCACAACAAAATGGAGTAGCTGAACGTAAAAATAGACATCTCATTGAGATTGCACAGACTCTTCTTATTCACATGCATGTTCCTCTTCACTTCTAGGCCGATGCAGTCCTTGCCTCTTGTTTTGTCATCAACCGTATGCCGTCATCTGTGCTTAATAATGACATTCTTTATAACTTGTTGCTTCCAGATGTTCCTCTCTATCCTCTATCCCCACATGTCTTTGGTTGTACCTGTTTTGTTCATGATCTCACTCCTGGTAAGGACAAGTTAACATCCAAAGCCTTTAAATGTATTTTTCTTGGCTATTCTCGTCTTCAAAAGGGTTATCGTTGTTATTCTCCTGATCTTAAGCGTTACTTTGTTTCCGCTGATGTCACTTTTCTTGATCAACAACCCTTTAATTCTATCTCATCTCAATTGTCACAGGTTGATCATGTTCTTCCTATTCCTTTTCTTGACTTGTCTTTGCTAGCTGCAGGTACTTCTATTCCAGATGAAAAACCTATTGCTTCCATACCTGAGGACCGTCCACTTCTCACCTATCAGCATCGTAAGACTGTGCCTCCTGTCGACTTGACTCTGGCTGACTCATCGCCCACTGCTGTTGATTCTTCCCCTCCGGCTCCTTCACCAGAGGCTCTTCCCATTGCTCAAAGAAAAGGTACACGTACTACTCGTAACCCTTATCCTCTTTATACCTTTTTGAGCTATGATCGTCTTTTTTCTCCCCATTTCACCTTTGTTTCTAGTCTTTCTTCTGTTTCTATTCCTAAGACCACAGGTGAAACACTTTCTCATCCAGGGTGGCGCTAAGTGATGCTTGATGAGATGACTACACTTCATTCCAATGGCACTTGGGACCTTGTTTCTGCTCCTCCAGAGAAGTCTATAGTTGGTTGTCGCTGGATTTTTACTGTGAAAGTTGGACCTGATAGCCATGTTGATCGTCTCAAGGCACGCTTAGTTGCAAAAGGTTTTACTCAAATCTTTGGCCTTGATTATAGCAACACATTCTCTCGGTCGCTAAGATGTCGTCAGTTCGCCTATTTCTTGCTTTTACTGTTGTTCGTCACCGGCTACTCCTTCAACTTGGCATCAAAAATGCTTTTCTTCATGGTGATTTACAAGAAGTTTACATGGAGCAACCACCTGGTTTTGTTGCTCAGGGGGAGTCTGGGAAGGTTTGTCGTCTTCGCAAATCCTTATATGGTCTCAAGCAGTCTCCTCGGGCATGGTTCAATCGCTTCAGTTCTACTGTTCAGGCGTTTGGCTTAATCCACAGTAAAGTTGACCATTCTGTATTTTATAGGATCACATCTCCTGATAAGTACATCTATTTGTTAGTCTATGTTGATGACATCATTCTCACCGGAAGTGATCAAGCTGGAAGTCGTCAGTTAAAACAGCATTTATTCAGTCAATTTCAAACAAAGGACCTTGGAAGCTGCGTTACTTCTTGGGAATTGAGGTGGCACAATCTAGACA